GAATATATAGGAATTAAATAAAAATATTACTAGTAGCTTATATTTATTAAGATTTGTTATTGTTGAGAATTTTGAGTACCACAATCCCACACAAATAGAAGCAATAAAGAAATTGAGACAACAATTTAATGTGGTTGGACTTGTACACCTCTCAACAAATCTACATTCACGGGAATGAGAGAAATAAATCCATTATTAAGAAAAAGAGCTTAATAATTTAGAAGCTCTCTCATTCAAAAAGCCCTCAACACCCTAGTTTCAATGTATAGAAGCTCCCAAATTCTCCTTAATACTCTCTCTTAATCTACACAAGGATTTTTTCACAATTTCTCTCTTTCTTTTCTTGACAAGAGCTCTCACTCAATTTCTCTTGCTTTCCCCCACTCTTACTTGCCCATTGCCTTCGCATGCAGGAATATTTATAGTGAAAAATCCAACCACCCATGCACCATTTTTCTTTGTCTCATTACCACTTGTGCATGATTTTTCTTGCTCATTAAATGGGTCTATATGCAATCTTGCATGATTTCAACATAGCAATCCTAACCCACAACTAGCTAGGTTGGTGAAGAAATTTCACCACATGGAAAGTCCATATGTTCACATGCATGGGGTTGGACTTTCTACCAACAGTTATTATCTTCCAATAAAAATTCAATTGGGAATCTAATTAAGGAGTAAGTCTAATTTGGGTTTTTAACTTTTACATTTAAATGTATGTTATATTAGGATTATTCAATTGAAGTAATTATAAATTAAAATTATCTTTTAAAATTCCCTAATTATGCTATTCTCCTCCCACCCTTACTTCTATTTCTAAGTTATATCCTCACCTTTGCTTCCTGTTCTACATCATAAAGCAGATCAGCTAGCGGAGTTCAAGGCAGCCATGGACCGAAGTAAAGGAGAAATTTTACACTGCAAACTTATATTTAAGAAGAAGATGAAGCTGTAACAGACCCAATGTTTTTCCAGCTTTCCTACATTCAAGTATGTACTTCTCCTAAAATTTGTTTAGAGTAGTTTTAACATTTACAAAACTACTGTTAACAACAAATACCAATGACTTGTTGAATCACATGAAATGAAAAGATAAATATTGGAAGATCCTTTCCTTTTGTATTTGACGTGACTTGATTTTAAATTAAACGAAACATAAAATAGCTTGCAGATGATAGAGGTTTAATAAAAAAAAAAAAACTATTAGCAATAAACAACTTTTAGAATTTTGATACTAAACATTATAATTTATGGTTATGTTTGGTACAGCTGATGGGAAGTCTTTTTAAAATTCAAAAGTTTTAACTGCACCAAACAGTATAATTTACGAAAAATGTTACAATTTTTTACAAATTAGTCTTTTGTTCATTTCATTGCAAATCTTAAAAGTACCGAATTAATGCTTTTATAGAAAATTTTCATTTGAGTTTTAATGGGATTAATATATTATTTTTATTTTATCATTATTTTTTATTTATTTACAAAATAAAAAACACTTTTACAACCGTTTCTTTTCGACGTAACTTTTATTAAAACTTCGGCCTAACCAAACGGACACTATATATTAGGCAATTATCCTGTTGGAAGGGATGAGCTATACAGCTGTCTGCATTGCAGACGTTGGTTGAGATTGGATTTGTTGGTTCCCCTGAATTGTGCACGTCAGTATCATTCCCAATCTTCAATATATTTAATTTACCAATCCTGATTTCTTATTTATGTGGTGCCGTCGTGGTACCGTGGTAGTGGTTTCTTTTCATTTTTCTCGCACTAGTGCGTGATAAGCGCAAAGGAATCATTTTTCTGCATTTTGAATTTATTTTTAGTTCCAAGGATTTTACTTGACAATATCAAGTTTAGATACAGTGATTGGAATTCACTACTAGAAAGATACCTCCCAAGACAAATTGCAATAACCTGAGCAAAGCGAGAATGGGGAGCTGGATATTCTCTCTCACTTACCATGTGATGGTAGAAGGATGATTCTTAGTTTCTTGTTCTTGATTGATTAACTCAATTTCCCAAGATTAAATTGCTTGCATTAAATTTTGTCATGGTTCCAATGCCTTACAGGAATTTCTGACAAAAGATGATGCAAGACAGCAACTCCTACGAATACTATGGATGCTTTCAAATGGGGATTCAGGTTTCTTCAGTGTTCGCAAAATTGATGATCCTGTTGGACTTTTGCGTGGAAAAATCATATTGGGTATCAATAAGAGAGGGGTTAGTCTTACAAATTGTATGCTTTGACATAATTTCATATATCATAAGGGTACATGAACATAGTTACATATCTACAATATACACTTACATTGGTTGACATTAATTTATTTGTCCAATTGTAGGTTCGCCTTTTTCATCCAGTTCCAAAGGAATACTTGCATTCTTCAGAATTAAGAGATATAATGCAGTTTGGTAGTAGCAATGCGGCTGTATTTTTCAAGATGCGAGTTGCAGGTGTTCTTCACATATTTCAGTTTGAAAGAAAACAGGTAGTCTATCTTGTCCTCTGTTATTCTTCCCTTTCAAAAAATAAGGGATTGGGGCTTCTGTTCTGTGTGGGAGCTGGGATAAATGTACATGTTACTTCCGGAAATTAGTTGGAAGGTAATGTTGAAATATCACAAAAGTAACTGAAAGACTACTAACTAGTACTGTCATCAGCAGGGAAGTGGTAATGAAGTTTCAAATACTTCAGAGACTACTATGGTCTTATAATAACATATTACTATTAAGTAACAATAAAGCGTAATGCAGCAAATGAAAAAAGAAAAGAGCGTAATGCAGGAAGAGTAGTGGACTGAACATGCGGAACAATAAATAACTTAGAGCATGTACGATGGGAACATTTAAAAGCTTATTTAAGTGTCACATAATTATAATTAATATTATTTTATTTAAACTTATATTCTTATGTATTTAACTTTCAAATAAAATATCTAACAAAACAACTTCCTTACAATGCATATTCTTAAACATAGTTTTTTCAAAAATACATAATTATTATTTTATTTTACCTATATTTTATATATTTAACAAAAAAAATATAATATAATTTAAATTATATCAAATTATATTACATTAACCAAAATTATCATCCTTCATTTAATGATTTATATTTTATAATTCAATGTCATTTGAAGTGTAAAATAAAGTTTTTAATATTTAAATAAAAATTTTGAATTAATTAAAAAAAATTCCAACCATTGGATTAAAAAATCCAATGGTTGCTTGAGGAGGTAGCTGGTATATTTTTACCTATCAGCGCATGTCAGACGATCAAACTTTTCAGGCCTAAAAGGTCAAAATGACATTGTTTTGATCTGTTTCAGGCCCCAAAAAAAGAGTTTGATCGAGCTTGTCTCTAAGCTCGGTCCCAAAGCTGGTGGAGGTGTTCTGCCTCTGGTGATGATGAATGTTTAGTTTAACCATTGTCAATTTTTAGAAAATATTAGTTTTAAAAATATTGTTTATTATGTCATTTGATAATAAAATTATTTATATTTTTAATTATAAAT